CTCAGACACGGTCCAGTAAAATAAAACTGTAAGCATCGGAAGCTAAAAGAAAAAAAATAAAACTTTTGTTCTTTTTTTAAACGTTTCATAAAGTCCTGAATGTTGAGCCCTCTTGTTGAATAAAATCCAAACACTTGTTTCCACATCAACGCCTGCTCAACGAGATTTAAAAGAATAATAAAAAAACTGCATCTTTTCACGTTTCTTTTCTTTTCGTCTTTTATTTAACGTCTACTTCCTGTTTTCTTAAATATAACGGTAATCTGGACACGCAGCAACAATCAGCTCATAAAACAGTCAGATTTGTTCTTTTCTCTTTATTTCTCATGAAGCTTTTTGAGAAAACCAATCAATTGTGTGTGTGTGTGTGTGTGTGTAGGACTCACTGGGTCACATTGGCACTGCTGGTCTGTAAAGAAAGACTTGGTTTTGGGCAGCTGAATGTCTGAAACGTTGAGGCCTACCTTGGCAGAAAAGCAGCATCGTGTCTCGCTGTAAGGCCCAACGTGTCGCTGCTCGCTTCAAAAGGACTTACACACCTTGTTTTTTGTAAACATTTATGACGAAGGTCAGCGTTATTAAATCCTGACTGAGGGAGGGGRGGTCCGGATGATGTTTATTATAACCAGCTAATACATACAGAAGAGATTTGAGCCCGAGACCAGGGAAGCAGCACGTGTATACGTGCTGCTTCCCTGGTCTCGGGCTCAAATCTCAGGTAATAAATAAAACCCAACGGTTAAAAAAAGCAGCATTTAGGCAGTTAGTCATTTCTGTAACGCTTTGTTTCTTTTGTTATTCCCTAGTTTGCAAAGACCAGAGGCTAAAACAAAACCATTGAATAAGTTTGTTTATCCAATCGAATGTTCCTCTGTTATCCCGACACGTAAACTAAACATAATCCTGCTGCGATCAGGTGTAATCTCACTGTGACGCACTGATGAAAAAACATCCTCGAAGTGGCGGAGAAACTGCTCCAGTCTCACCGAACTCTGAGCGTTGTCAAGTGACAATCGAGTGCCTGATTTCATGTTTGTGTAAAACTCACTGAGCTGCAGCTGACAGTTGATTAACATCCGCAGTGACTCCGGAATGTCTCGAGGCTTGGATTTTGAAAATATTCCAAACAAAGATTCGTCCGGACAAAGCTTCACCGAGAGCACCGGAGCTCTTCTCTGACAGAAAACACATCTGTGACTAAAAACCAAGTTGTCGACAAACAATAATTATTAAATAACCGGCCCAAATATCAGAAGCCCTCTAGTGTGTTAAATCAGAAACATGAGGATGGCAGACAACTAGACTCCGACAGTTGCAGGTCAGTGAGATACCAGGGGTGTAAACCAACAGCTTTGTGACACGACATTTCGATGACGATATGATACATCGAAAACGATGCAATATATCGATGACGATACGATATATCGATGACGATACGATACATCGAAAATGATACGATATATCGATGACGATACGATACATCGAAAACGATGCAATATATCAACGACGATACGATATTTCGAAGATGATTCAATATATCGATGACAATACGATATATCAATGACGCTGCAATATATAGACGACAATGCAATATATCGATGATGATTCAATATATCGGCGATGATTCAATATATTGACGACAATACGATATATCGATGACAATACAATCAAAACGATATATCGATGACGATACGATATATCGATGACGCTGCAATATATCGATGATGATTCAATATATCGACGATGATTCAATATATCGACAATGATTCAATATATCGATGATGATTCAATATATCGACGATGATTCAATATATCGACNTTTTGACACCTGAGAGACACCGTAGCAACTCCTTTGTGTTTGGAAGTCGGGGGTGGGGTGGGGGGAGGACCAGGGAGGATGATTCAACCACTCAACCACTAGATGTCACTGAAAACAACAAATCCTAAACACTGTGCCTTTTAACAGGGACAATGCGTACAAAAACATAGAACAGATCAAGTCTGTAGCTGATGCGTTGCATAAAGAGTATATAGCTACAGCTAATTTGCAACTCCAGTCCCTGGCTGGGCATTTCTACACAAATAAAGTACATACAGTTTATGCATCCATATACACTATAAATACATAAGCATATCTGCCAAGAAATTCATAAAATCAACCAATACAGCTTATACTGTTGTGAGTTTTTGTACAACGCTCTATCCACATTCAGACATTCCCCTTTTGTCATCACTTCCTGTTGCTTCACATGCCAACATTTCAACAACTGGTCATCTCAGTGGCTTAAATATGTTTTTCAATATGTTATCAATGTTCTCTTTCCAAAAATGCATTCCTATTTATAAACATCTGATATTACGGCATTTTAAACTCCTTGGGGTTGTGACGAAAAGAGGACCACTGTTTATTACATAAACCAAAGTGCATTTCGTTTGACACTAAACACACTAATAAGAAAAAAAAAAGGTGTTTTAATTAAACCCATTTAAACTGAAGAAATGATCAAAAGAATCACACTTACTGAGACAGATTCAAAATCTCATCCTTTAGAAGCTGCAGCAGTATCGAACCTGTCCGAAGGTGATGCGTTGCATGACCAACACGCCTGTCGTGGTGCGTGAAGGCGCCACCGTCTATGCCACCGGCACACACGCAGAGGTGGAGGATGGAAAGCTGCTGGAACAGCTGATGGCAAGTGTCGGCTACTGCACTGAAGTGGAGGAGGACCTGATTGATGCTGTCACGGGCCTGAGTGGCAGCGGGCCTGCTTACGTGAGTTCACTGTGCTTTTACCGTCTCCAGTGCGTTTTAGCAGCACTGCCTCACCTCCAGTAAATCTGAACAGTGCGTGCTTTGGATTGTTGCCCTCTTTCCATCATTGTAATTGTGGTGATTATTGTGGCCTTCCAGGCATTCTTAGCCGTGGATGCGCTCGCCGACGGTGGAGTGAAAATGGGCCTGCCCAGGAGGCTTGCCGTACGCCTCGGAGCTCAAGCCCTGCTGGTACGAGCCTCATAACTGAAACTCATTCCCAGGTTTTATGTCGCTTGGATATTTAAAAACAAAGCACGCTTCATTTCTATTCTGTTTCCCCTTTGTATAAGACATAAAATATGTGGTACTTCCTAGTTTTTTAAAACTTGCTGAATTCATACAGCCATCGAAAATGCCTCATACCGTATATTGTAATTTATTTAACAAAACCTAAGCAAAATTTAAATTGTGTCAAAAATTAATCATACTCAATATTTGGTAGTTTGCAGTACCACCTTTTTAAGAGCAATGGGCCTCATGCAAGAACATGTTTGTATTTTTATCCTAAATTTTTCTTACTTTTGTTCGTACAAAGGGTTCGTACGAACATGCCACGTCAGATTCAACAAACTCTTCTATCTTCARGAAAAGTGTGTAAATGAGCTGCGTAAATTCCACCTGTTCGTATCCAGCTGCTCGTGCACGAGGAGAGGTTATTTACATAATTACCACCCCAAAAACAYCATATAAGGCTGTGTTTCCTGCCCCACATACCAGGAAGTGTCCATTCATGAATGACATTGCAGTGTAAAAAAAAGAACTTTACGAGTTCGGAGATTGTAGTCCTGCTCTCCGAGATCGAGAAAAAATTTTTTCTCTTTAGCAGCGTCATGTGGAATTAAGGAGCTGCTTAAAGGAATGAAATGTGCTGTTAATGTCGTGTCTCCAGTGGGTCGTTACAGTCACGGAAATAAAAATCTAAATCATATTCATCTCTCTCTAGTCCAGCTCCGGTTTTTCTTTGGTCAAATATTTTTTAATTTAAGTGTAAACAACTGTGTTACTGTGTTTACACTTATTCAGAAGAAGGATGGTTGCGTACCGCTATCCCCCCCTCCCGGCTGTAGCAAGTGACAGCTGCGGTTCTGAAAAGACGCATTTTAAAACGTCTCCAAACTTCAATTAATGCATAATTTAAGTTGTTTTTTAGTTTGAGATCTTCATATTAACATTGTAGTGTTATACAGCAGCATTAAAAGACAATTTAACTTAATCTAATCAATTTATGTCATTAAAATCTAATTCCAGTTCAAACAGAATAACCTACTGTCAACATAGTTATGGAGTGTGATTTATTTTCAACTCGAAATATTTTCAAAATAACGAAATATAAAGTT